TGGAATTTTCATCATTTTTTGCCTGTTAAATTCTATCCTCTGTCTCCCGTCCATTTTGACCGAAATACCACTTGAATGCTTTTATAATCAAGTGCTTCTTCCCACGAATCTCTTACGTATTATTTTCCGTTCTCCTATATTGAGTAATTCATCAATTAGTCTTTTTTGACGTGTGCCACAGGACGCCTTCAGCCATCAGAAGTTACTCGAATATATCTTCCAACATCGGTTTTAACGATGTCCATTTCATTTGCAATGTGTTTCGCCAACAATTCTTAATGGTGCTTTATTCCAAGCATCTGCTATTACCTGCTTGTTCCTCGACACCAAGTCGATAGTGGCTTTGAATTCCAGCGTCGCAAGGTTGGAGAAATATATTCTATGCGTAGGTTTTAGTTCGAGCAAAAAACTATCCGTATGCGCTCCATTTTCCTTAGCGTTATTGTCAAAAATTCGATGGCTTCGGTTATTAACAGTTAAACCTTGTAACCCATTTGTATAATTCTTTTCTAACGCACAATTGCAAGAACTTCGAACGACCACCAAATTTGTTTGCCAATTTTTCATCACTCAGTTTTACATTACTCAATTTTACATCGGTTTAATTGGTTAATTCGATACAATAATGCTAATAGATGTGGGGATTTATTTTTTAACATCGCTTGTAAATAAAAAGTGGTATGACCTTAGCGCACAATGGCATGTCAGTTTGTGTATAGAAGAGGTATGACTGTCCTATCTATGGTTCATGTGATATGTCTATACTGAGCGCAGGTTTCACAGCCGAATGCTGCGCACATATAAATAATCTGGTCGCATAATTGTATGTGAACGGAACAAACGCTCCGCCATTCCTCAATGTGTTATAAAATCACGTAAATCGATAGGTTTTCCTCAGTAACCGATTAAGTTTAACCTCCGTTAGAGCAGACATGAGTGCATTTACATCCCCAAACTTGGCCGAGAAAGACATTCGCGTAGTAGTAGGAATTGGTATGTTTTCAATGTTTGCAGCTTTTGTCAATGTAATTACGCTCATTACTGATAATTATGCGCTTTCAATATTTCAATCGATTTAGATTTTGGAACAACATTTTCGGGTCAGTATCAATGACTATTTTATAGACGAATATTTGATATGATTCTAATAACTGATTTTCATCTGTAATTAGGTTTTGCACTTGCAAATAAAGCAAATCCGGGTATAATCGAAACGCACGAGACATGGTATTTTAAAATTATTCTGTTACCGTTTGTAGCGAGACATAAATATTTCTTTTTCACACTTGGATTGCTATAATTTCTTTAGGCCAGATCGCAAAGGTCATCTAAAGACTAACACTGCTTTACAGTATGATGAGAAATGGAATGTAATCAGGTGGGGGGCCCCAGCTTTGGCTTCGAGGCCTAAAAGGAAGAAAAATTCTGCTGCTGTCGTTGAGACAAAACCGGTTGAATTGTTCAAGTTACATCTTGGCGAAATGGAACATTCCAAGAAGCCTCCATTGCCAACCGGATTGGATTATAGAAAAGCAATAACAGACTATCTGCGTCAAATGTCAAAGGTAATATAGGGTTTTTGTCTATCATTTATATTATCATGACAGTTTACGCTATACTTCTATCTGCTCTAAATAATCGTGGAATCTGCTTTTATTAATATAAGCTCGTAAAAGATACACTCAAGATCAGGTGGCCGGGTCTTGAGTTTGACAGACATGTGTTGAAAGTGATGACAGTACCTGCCGAGTATGATGAAAAGGCGAGATTTACATTGAGAACGTGTGCATATGAAGCAGGTCTTATTGATACTATGAATTCAGAACATCTGGAATTTACTCCTGAACGTACGAGACTTGTTTGTATTGAGCATCTGTTATGAATATGATTATCATGGACATTTAATAATGATTATCGATTATCTCTTGATTATTCCAGCCGAAGCGGCCGCAATCTATTGTATTAAAGTACTCAAGGAACATTCACTTGAAAAAGAAAGTAAGTAATCAATATTTGGTTCTCACGTATCCAGTTAGTAGAAACCAAGAATTCAGCATACAGCTTCTGTTATACAGTTATTCTACTGATCTTCATAATATTAATGATCTTCCTCATGTTATCAATATTACAGGTTCATTTTTAATTGTTGATTGTGGAGGAGGAACGGTGGATTTGACAGTTCGTATACTGAAAGAGAACAACAAGTTAACTGAAGTAACAGAAAGAACGGGCGATTTCTGCGGCGGATCATATGTAGACAAAGAATTTCTCAAATATCTCGAGAAACAAATAGGGTCATCGGCCATGAGAACGCTAGAAGAGAAACATTATGCTCAACTACAATATCTAGTGCAAGAATTCTGTGCAATCGCCAAATTTGAATTCAATGGGAATAACAATTTCGGAGTTAAAGAGATAGATCTCGAAGAGGTTTGCCCAGTATTAAAACAGTACGTGACTGGAGATATGAGAGATAATATGGAAGAGCAAGAGTGGATGATTCAATTGGATCATGGTACAATCAAAGGATTCTTCGATCCAGTTGTAGAAAAAATTATCACATTGATTGAGAATCAATTGTCGGCTGCTAAAAATAAAGTCTCTGCGATGTTTATGGTTGGCGGGTTTTCGGAATCTAAATATTTATTTAAAAGAGTAAAGCAAAAATTTGACACACGGGTGCCAATCATAGCTATACCATCTGACCCAATAGCAGCTGTAGTACGCGGGGCTGTATTATACGGTAAGCGATAGAACAAGATCGTATATGCATAGATTGTCAAATCAGTACTGTCGACACCCACACGTTTAATTCTCATTTGGTTCCAATATAATAACCGTTATATGATTTTGAATGTAGGAATGAACATGGCCACGATAGAGACACGCGTGCTTAAGCGTACGTACGGCTTGCGTCTTGCTACCAGGTGGAAGCATGGAGATCCAATCGAACGTAAAACTGAAACGGGACGCATTAAATATTTCAAGAGGATAGTAAAACGGGGCACTGAAGTCCCGGTCGATGCCAGTTTTTTCCAGGGAGTGCATCCATCTTATCCGGAGCAGACCGAGATGGATTTCCATATTTACACAACACCAAGCGACGATGGGAAGTACTGTGATGACGACGAAATGGATCACTTTGGATCAATGACTATTGTAAGTCGATTAGGGCCGGTGAGATAAGGGAGTTTAGAGAAATTGGAACTATGTTCATGATAGCAAAAAAGTCGTTAAAAGTCAACAGAGCTTATTAACATTGTCATTTGAACAATGAATAGGAAATTCATTTTATTGCACACCATTGAATAGGATCTGACTTACATCTTTTTTTTTTAGGAATTGCCAGACGTTCATCTTGGACTTAACAGGAGTGTTGACTTTACATTAACATTTGGACGGATGGAGACGAAAGCAATAGCACGTAATAAAGGCAATGGAAAGACATATGAAACGAAGTTTAGATTAATACTATAATGTATATATTATATATTATATATATTAAAAGATTGAATATTTATATTTGCAAATAGCACACATTCGTTGTTACTGGTTGGATGTCTATTATTACTCATTGGCTGCTATTGTACAATAGTTGAGTTAAATTAAAACTCGAGATCGAAAGTTGTCTGATAAATTTGTCCGTTTCTGATATTCTGTGCGGTTGCCTTGACTTCCATTGCTCCAAACGTCAAGGTGAACTGTATCAATCGGTCTTTACCCAGATGGGGATCTGGCAGGTCAATCTTCATCTTGCCCAACATCCGCATGCCATTTTCATCACAATACTTTGCACTCAGGGCAGGAGTAACGTAAATATTGAAATTCATATCTGTCTGATTCGGATTCACAGGTCCAGCTGTGTATTGAAATTTTTGATTGACAGCAACTTCGGTACTGCGGCGAGCCAGTTGATGAAACTTGAATAGCCGGCCTTGTGGAGTCCTACGCTCGGGTGGGTCACCAGGCTCCCAACGAGCACTGACTTCCACTCCATAGCTCCATTTCAAAACGCGCGTCTTGACAGTAGACATATTGAGACCTATGTGTGAAAAAGGGAGTTTCATGAATAACCATTCAAATTCCGCTTACGGTCGCAAACTATGTATCAGAAATGTCCAAATATGCATACCATATGACAAAGCACCGCGAACAACAGCTGCTATTGGATGTTTAGGAACAGCAATTACCGGAACCGCTCTCCCAAATGTTGCTCTAACACGCGCCTGCAAATATTGCGATTCGCCGAACCCGCCAACCAGAAACATACAACTACACGGAGTATCCGATGCGTTCAGTTGTCTCTCAATCAATGTAATAATCTTGTTCACCACTGGATCAAACATCTTCTTTACGTCCTCATAGGTCATTTCCACAATCCAATCGACGTCATCTAATTCTGCATGCGCTTTTTCCGTCATGTATTGCATCACAGCTGGACACACTCGCTCAATGTCCAATTCTTTAGCTCTGAATTCGCTTGGATTGCCGTTAAACGAGAATTTGACTTTGGTACAAAAATACTGTACCAAATATTGTAATTGACCGTAATGATTCGTTTTAAGCTGATTCATTGCCTCGAATCCAAGTTTGCGGCCGAGAAATTTTAGAAACTCTCTATCAACAAAAGAACTGCCACACAATTCTCCTGATCTTTCTGTTATTTCTCCAAGTTGATTCTCGGGCAACAATCGTCTAGTAGTCAGGTCTACCGTTCCACCACCACAATCCACAATCATAAAGGATGCTACAAGTAGAATATACTGTTAATATAGACATTGAAACAAGACAGCAAGTTCCCTAACCGCGCTTACCTCCTGGCATTAACTCGTGCTCTTTGAGAATTGAGATACAATGTATTGCAGCAGCCTCAGGCTCGGTCGTAAACTCCAGCAGATCGGATCGTAGCGTTTCTATAAGCCCAGCGTGAAAGGCACATGCTCTCATAATTGCTTTTGCCTCCTCTAAAAAGCATCAACAAGGTGAGATAGAAAGTTCCATATGTGCTTTCAAAGATCACAGATAACATACCTGTCCATTCTGCAGGCACTGTCAACACAACTCTGGTAATATAAAAATAAATTATAGTTTTGTTGATTAGTTTGTTAACAAACACAAACACTCTCTACGAATATCGTCTTGCAAATGTTAATTACTCAACCTGACTTGTTGTGGAAATCTAACTCCTGGCCACCGAGAAGCCAATGTCTCTTTTATCAACTAATAACAATAGACAGATTCATTCAATAAATGCATCATTTGAATCAAATCTGCATGTTAGCCATACTTTAGCCATTTCACCAAGATAGTCTGTTATCGCTCTCTTGAAGTCTAATCCTGGTGGTAAAGATGGCATTTCTCCTCCTGCATCAGCCGCAAGATAGAGTTTGAACAGTTCAACTGGTTTGGCATGGTGTGCATGAGTCGCATCCCTTTTCTTTTTTTTCACAGGCTCTTGTGCTAATGCTGGATATCCCCTATAAATGAAAAGCATTAGATATAAAGGTATAAATATACGAGCACAGTTGAAATGGAGATTACCATTTAGTTACGTTCCAATTCTCATCGTATTGAAGTACGGTGTTTGTTTTAAACACACCAGTCTGTTCGGGCCTACAATAAAACAAAGCGTGCGCAATACACACAGCATTAATGACATGTGATGCTAAATATAAAGCAGCGATGTGAATTACCAGCTGTCGTTTGTAACAATCTCTGGGTTTACTTTGTTTGCATATGCAAATCCTGTTAACGAGTAAGGTGCGATTTGAGAAGGCGTCAGAACTATTTGAATAAACTTGCCAAGTTCTAGATTACTGAATGCCAAAAATACCTGAAAATGTCGTTCCAAAGTCTGTGCAAGAGATAAAATGTAATAAATAATTAGAATGACCTCGGTATCTTGTTGAATTGACAAGAAGACAGACGTACCGATAGCAACAACTATTCGTATATCTCTATCCATTGTAAATTGTTCTCTAAACTGTTCAAGGCTCACACTAATTAAGCGCCGTTTTCATGCTGTATCACACTTTTACGTTTTGTCGTTGGCAGCAAATATCACCATTTTTGTAGTAGTGAGAACAATAAAGTGTGAGCGATAAGGCGGAGTTGATGTTCCGAAAACTGATACGTCGACATCAATGTTGAAATTATAGTAATAGGGGGTTATAAAAAGTGGCACACTTTTTCTTTACTGCTGTTTTAGGTTCTTTAATAGTGTCTCGCTAATTATCAATAACCTGGTACTACAACTGATATGCTATTAAAAACTTTTGTACCGTTATCGCGTAATTATTTCATTGTGGTCTTTTCTCTAGCCTATTTATTACGAGATTTCATCCATTCGACTGTCTACATTAACATTGATTGTTCTGTTCTTCGTGGCGTTTAAACTTTTTTTTTGAATTCGATTTTCATTAATTTTTTTTGAGATCGTCAAGTTTTATTTCTGGGTACGCGATTCCGAGAAAAGCTAAAATGAAAATCAATACTAAACGAACATCAACCAATACACTGCATTTTTATCAAAAATATTCTTTCAATCAACGAATAGACTTTAAAATATGTAGGCAATGTAATTATCTATTATGTATGCCAAACAGAAATCGAACACATCTAATCATTTACTAATGCGTGCAAACGATTACCTTCAGTTTTATTTGCCCAATGCATCTGATACAACTATTCTGGATTATGTATCGCTTTCTATCAATTTTTCCATTCTTTCAACAAATTCTTCTTGCATACGTCTTAAATAATCTTTCAGCGTTTCTTTATCCAAACTAGATGACCTTATACTTGAAAGATGTTGCGCCAACTGATGTATAAATAATCGGTCGGTAAGTATGTTTTGTGTATTTGAAGTAATTATTTAATAACACCATTTAGGCAATTCTTATCCAAACTTACTTGAAGTAAAAGTTTTCTCTTTTGAAGTAACTTATTTGTTGCAGACCTTTGTCTACCCGCATCTATGAGTTCTTTTAGCTATAATTTAATTATAAGTAAAATTTTCAAATGCACATTGCTTCGGTATTTTTCTAAAACGTAACAATTTGTAAATCGCTTACTTTGTAGGACACTTCAGATGCTCTTTGAATGACATCTTCAGGCAGACCAACTAACTGACCAAATTTCAAACCTGAAACAAAGAATCATATAAACATCATTTCTTAACGTATTTTAGTGCTCAACATGGAACGCGATCCAATTAAAATTTTAAACCAACCATAATGCTCTTCATTAGTGCTACCGTCTTTTACTTTGTACAAATACTTCATGGCTACGTTGCTGTTATTTCCATCAATCTGCAGTTACAAATTATTAGTATTAGCCATTTTTCAATTAAACTATTCGTATGTCGGTTCGATTTACCTGCACGTCCAGATGTAAATTCACAACGTTTGGGTACACAGCGAGACTTGTTGTAAGCTCATGAAAGTGCGTTGCAAAGAATATAAAGGCCTGGTAGAAACATTAAAAGTCAAGATAAACCCGTAGCAGCTAACACAACGGCATAGTTTTACTGTAAAACAATACATTGCTTCTCAGTAGTTCCTCACAAACAGCATAAGTTATACCCAATCCATCATGAGTTGAGGTTCCTGAATTAAATGCAACATATAATCATAAATTGTAACTATTACCAGTGAAACTTCAACATTTTTATATCTCACCTCGTCCAAGTTCGTCAATAAGGACTAGACTTTCATCAGTAATATTCTGTAAAATATAGGCAGTCTCCCTCATTTCAAGGATAAAGGTACTCGTATTGTTTTCCATAGTAAGTTCATTACATATACATGTAAATAACTATTAAAAGATATACATTGCCATTGGGTTAATTGTAAACCGCTAACATCTAACATAACGTCTACTATATAATATTTGATTTCTACTTACTTGATCCACTATTCTGAATGATGCGTATTCGGCTGGAACACTATTAACAAATTTAACAAAATTAGTAGTGCAACAATTGAACAATTGATCTCGACTTTCAAACTGCATACGTACAATGACCCAATCTGAGACATAATGCAAATTAAAGCAGTTTGCCTTAAGTATGTACTTTTCCCACTCATATTGGGTCCTGTAATTAGTTGAAAGTTTGTAGTGGAATTTGCATATGTATCGTTAGGAATGAAGGAGTCAATACAAAAATGTTCACAGATGGGATGGCGACCAGATTTGATTGCTAAGGTCTCGGTAAATTCTGGTCTAACTATAAACAGGGTTTTCCAATTAATATGAAAAATATAATTTCAGCATGTTATCAACAAATTGTGACGCATATTTCGTTTAAGAGGATACACTTACAATAGTTATTAGATACAGTACATTGGTGAGCAAGTGAAGTAATCAAATCCAACATCGCAATGGATTCAGAAATTTCGTAGAGTATACCAATGTTACTACATATTTCTGATATGAGTTCTGTAACTGTTCTATTAAAGTACGCATCAGTGTCGTTGTAAAATGTACATCCTGTATAACAAATTAAGATGTATCGATACTCACTTATCAGACATCAAATATACTTCTGTCAACGAATCATTTATTTTGGTATTCATCTTCATCTAATCAAAAAGATTTTTAGTAGTCAATTAATATGTAAACTGGAAACATTATAACTTACCAAATCCAGTGTCGTGAATGTCAATGTCTTTCTTTTCTTTGTAACATTAATGAATATAAGTGGTAATTGTCTCTGTTCCAAGTTGCTAACTGTAGTAGAAAGGCAGAATCCGCTTGATGGGCTAAATTGCATTTTGAGAGGAATATTGTACTGTTCTAATGGAATTCATATTATTGGTAAAGGTCACCAACGCAATAATAACGGAACATTCTGCGCGAATGGATTGTCATTACCAGTATAACCATTTACGAGTTCATAGACATCATTTGTTGCTTCTTTGTAAGTTTGACGCGCTAGAATTTTATCATAATACAATTTATACAGTACTGTAGTCTGTTCGTTCTTAATCGATCTCAATTTATTCTCACTTACCGACGTCCAATAGACCATTGAATCCTGCCTACATCACAGATGATATTAGTAAGATAGTTTAATAATATAATCAAACAGAAAATATACCTTTACGGCGTAGCATCTTTGATTTCTCAATCCAAGAGAGCTCTTCTGATAAGTAGCGTCTTCATTAATTACATCATTAATTATTTTTTCAATTGCGCCTAGTCTTTCGTCTTCCAGTACCTAATAATAATATAATTCGGTTTATATCGATATCTTATTTAGCAAGCTAATATTTCACTATGAGATTAATAATAACATTACTTGTCTTGTGCCTGTTAAGAGTATACTCTGACATAAAGCGAGTGCCGCGTATAGTGATTTAATTGACTGAATTGTATGTTTGAGTATAATTATATTATTGATATTCTGTTCAGCATGTTTAACTGTTTGTTTTTGCGGTACTTTAATGAGCTACGCGAAGTGGTACAACAAGAGATGACTATCAGTCACAATTGATTACCACCACTATTTCATTCTATTACGTTACTCACTGCTGTAATAAGATGATCCACGTCCTGAAATGATTTAAGAGCTGCAAATGGTATTTCAACTATTAGCATGGATTCGTATTTGTTATTAACATCAATTGCTCAAATCCTACCTGTTTGAATCGAGAAGAATAAATCCTGCATATGAGTATACATTATTAAAATGAGTTTTTATAGTTAATTGCCATGGATTAGTATACAGTAATTATTTATTAATGTACCTCATTATTAATGAGTTCTGTAACACATAAATAAACGTCCATTGTATAAAGCAAAAATATTAGTTATATAAGATTCAACCATTGACTGTAGAATTTGCATATATCAATGCTTGCACATGTAATATTTTACCTTCAACTGAGTCTAACCGAGCATTTATGACGTCAACGTCTGTTAGGGAATATTTATCCGTTAATTAGCAGCCATGCGCGTTCCAATAGGCTTCTAACTTTACCTGTGAGTGGCTGCAGAATGTTAGTGCGTAGTAACCTGGCTATAATATTCAATTATAAAAATTTATTATTAACTTCCTCTCCATTAGTATTAACGTTTTGGAAACAGCGTCATATAACACGTTGGATATTATTACCTCCCATTGAAGTACATGTGTGGTTCAAGACGCCTATTAGTTGAAAATTAACAATTTGGTAAACGAACATGTTTACAGCAAAAGAATTTCGAAATTTCATTTATAGTACTCGTTGCATGTTACCATATAGAGTGTAATTGTTATGAGTTTTTGAAATGTTATGAATTAATTCCAGATTTCGCGCGGTTACACTATCTATAGATTATCGGTATCAGTCAGGCCAAAATTGCATAACAATGGGGGTAAAAAATTCTGCGCTCACCAATCATCATTGTTCCTTCGCAACCGCGGTATCTGAATCTAAGCGATTGGTTAATAAAGAAAATATGTTGCTGATTCTCAATATACCTAAGAAGAAATAGTCATATAATTAGTAGACAGAATAAACTGAATAGATGTGTGTTTACATGTTTATTACTTCAGGGCGGCGGCGGCGGCAGCAAGACAGTAAAACCTATATACAGACAATATGTATTTTGTTTTAATGTATTCAAATTGTTGTGAGATTATTTAATATCAAATACTCCTTACTTGGTGCTAAGTCCGAGTATCAAAGTGTTCGCTTCATCTTCGACGCTGTACTGAATGTCGAAACACAATGATGTCTCTATTCATTAAGTTTTGGCTATGCTAATATTTCCTTACTCACCTGTCTTATATAATTTAACCCTAATGATATATAAACGCGTGTTAATGTTACCATGCTACGTTGGTCCATTCAGCATTAGTAACTTCGATCTCCTACCAACAGCATCGTTAAAAAGTTTTCTTCCAATTGGAATTATAGATGTGGCTATAGCATTCTCCTCTAATATCTTAACTAATTTGGATTTTGATGGTTCCACGGCCGTATTTGACACAACAATCTGTGACATTAATTACGATTATAAAACGTATACTGTAGTTTAGTTCATGATTTAATGCGCAACTAAACTTACTTCATACGGTCGATATACGCTTATTTTATGGAGTGTTTTTGTGTAAGTTTGTGAGTCCGCGATCTAATATAGTTATAGCAACAATGACCATCACAAACCCGTGTACAATTAATTCATCAACATTGCACATGTATCGATTCACACCTGCGACAATATGCATTCACTTGTCCTCACGTCAATAAAACACATTCCAACCTCACTTGCAACACCTTCAAGAAAGATGACCAAACAATGAATGGCAAAAAACGCATCATTTGATGTTCTCAAAATTTAATTTTATTATTTAAAAACCTCTTCCTTCAATGATAGCCACAACAAACGAACTGCTTTCATCACGCGTCGCTCCCATTGTACGGGTAGATGCTGATGTTGTCGGTCTAGTCCTTGGTCTTATTGCTGAAATACTGGAAGAGATCTCTAAATCATCTTCCTGGTCAATAGGTGATATAATCCCAGGACAAAGAGGAGATGATAGGTACGACATAGTAATTGTAGAGTAATGTATAAAGGAAGATGTAATAATGCGGTTGATAAAAAAGCAGATGTTATAGAAGTTATCACATTCATGCGGAACACGTTTGCAGGAACTTGACGTCATGTTGACATAGACAATGCAATCATTCACGCAATCTTTCTGCGCATACAGGTCACATAATACGTCCATTTAGAAGAAACAACTACCCCAGTTTAATAAAGTATATACATGATTCGTAGCGAATGATAATGTTAACATGCAACGCCTGCTCTCTACTTTATCAAGAAAAGACCCTTTTGCGCAAGATTCCTTTCAATACGTTCATCTGTTCTGAACCGGTTGCTCTAGAAGACGGAGAATCAACTCGTTTCTACGAGATGTTATTTTAAAAAAAACTAACGAATTCACTTACTTTTGGATCAAACTGCAACTCTTTCGGTAATTATTGTTGAAATTAACTCAACGTGTTCCTCAGGCACGTCTAAAACTTGTTTACTGTCAATAATGAGATCTCCCCTTTAATAGCAAATACTGAAGAATCGTGGCGCTCATGATACCCGTGTGTTCGCTGTTTGACATTCAAGTGTTTGATTTGTTGCAAATGTTGTTTTATAAAGTATGTGTGTATTTGCTATATAACATTCTTCGCATACGATAAGTCGCCCACCATTAGTATGTACATGTCGAGGATTGATTATAGCTTTATGCAGAACAACTAGCTAGGCGAATGTGGAGTGCGAGGAGATTGGAGTGTATACGAAGGCGATCGCGGTGGATGCGAAGGCGATTGAGAAGCACGGGAAGGTGAACGTAGTGCATACGCGTTGTCCTTGCTTATGTTATTGTCATACAAACAATTCCCACTTGTTCGTTCTCTGCTTTCAACTTTACTTCTTTTGTCTCCAATCCGTTTTCTATCATCCACTCTATCCCCCTCTTCATTTTTCCGGCTTCTTCTTTTCTTGTCCTCTACCCTTTGTCTCTTAGTTTCCTTAATACGCCTCCCGTTTCTTTCATTTTTATCACGCTTCTTATCCCAGTCTCTCTCACTATATATTTCCTCATCGCTATCGTCATGATCTTTAGGGCGACTTCTGTTCCGCCGGTGGCGATAGTAATAGTCAGAATGATGCTCGTAGTGATGTTTTCTGCGGTGATACGTATCTCGCTGATGAATATGACTGGATGAGAGTGTTCGATGAACTCGAGGAGGGGAGCGAGAGCGAGAGTGAGAACGGGTTGAAATTGTAGCTGTCGCCTGAGATGGAGATAGAGGTGATTGAGACGTCGCTGATAACGGTGCAGGTTGAACCGGTTTTGTGTTATTTGTATTTATAGACAATACGGAGTCTAGTAATAAAGAAAGTTCACAGTCAATGAACGACAAGTCTGTAGTCATATTAGTAGTTTATTTAGTATTCCTACCACTTCTTGTACGATTCGTGTTTTCAAACTCATTATTATCTGCCTCGGAATAAAGGCCCTGCGGATTTTTAAATACATGCAAAAAATTACAGTGAATCCCCCTTGGGCATTTATTCTTATCATAGAAGCCTTAATAACAAAAAATTATATTAGTCACTGTACATTTACGTGCTATATTAACGGCGAGTCCAATAAATATAAAACGTACCACAAATCCCAAGTTTCCATTTTTTCACCGGACAATATTCTGCGATCAACTGCTTCCCAGCATACCATCTGCCTCGTATCTCATTTACTGCTTTTTCTGCAGAGTTTTCTTTCGAATACTGAACGTAGACATTACCTCTAAGATGAGGCTCAAAATTATTACACACCTTCAGAGTCGATGTTCATGAGTATTGGGTGTTAATAATAACTCCACGTTCGGACACTGGATTATATAAAAATAAATCCATAATATACTACCTTCAATTGTACAATTTTTCCATACTTTTGTAATTCAGCATGTATGTCTTCGAAAAACTCTGCAAAATGCCGCTCAGCTTCTACCTCGTCATACTGCAAATAATTGGAGAAGAGGTTATATACTTATGCTTCTCAAGTATTCTTAGTATCTTGATAAATAATTGAGTCTTGGGTCAAGGATTGAACTAGCATTTCGATTATACAAAGAATGGCATTTCCATATTATAGTGAAATGTAAATAACATGACAATCCCTTCAGAAGTGATCATAAATTCAAGGATATGAGAAGCTTCATTTGTATCTATATTCACTATAGACACTCCTTCGACACGAGAAACTATTGGTATATTTTCATTCTCAACGTCAGCCACATAATTCCCATTCACTTGCAGTTTAGTGCTCAAGCACGCCAGAACACATCCTCAAAGTAACACCCCATGAGACATTTTTTCACGCCCCAACCAAATTTCTTTCTCCAATCCTACCTCCAAATTGTCATCATTCTCTTCGTCGGCCAGATTAACAGGCATACCCTGATACATATTCTTGATTAAGACGGTAACACTTTTATCTGGATATGTGTGCATTCTAGCACATGAATCGCCATATCGACAAGCGCCAGTCTTCAAATAGAATGAGCAGTTGATTGGATCCTACGAAAATGGCATTGGAACGTAAAGACAACAAAACAAAGAAGTGGGAGGTGCAGTGATAAGGAGGCAATGTTCAATCATCGTAAATTAAGAAGAATAACTAATGCGTAGAGTATGTAGAAGTTGAATACACCGATCATATATCAAATGAGGATACACTACTTTGTCAGTGCCATATTCTGTGGCAAGCGCAGAGTCCGTCTCGTCCGGAGTTACGTTATGTTGCTAATGTACAATAAACAATCTAAGCATTCCATTATTTAAGGATTGGGCAAAACAATCATAGAAACAAAATGTAACCTCATCTAAGTTATTCTTCTTCGAATCATGCTCTGCTATTGGTTTCTGCTGCACTTTTATACTTTTTATCGCCTTCTCCCAATTCTCCTAATAATATCAAACGGTATTGTCATGAATTAATAATACAAAACCAAAATGCTTACTATAACGTGTTAATTCGTTGGTATCTAACCTGAACAATCTTCTTTCTTCTCTCTTCTTCCATTCGCCGGGCGTTAGCTTCCTCAATCTGCCGCTCCCTGTACTCCCACAGAATTCTCAACGAATTGCTAGTTTATGGGCAAATATAAATATTTGATGGATCAATTGAATATTATTAACAACTCAATGCACAGTAATTACTGTTGTGTTTCCTCGGCTTTCCTCAGCTTTACTTCTTCATCGGTTTCTATGTTACCAACAACCAGAATACAGCACGTATAAATTAATCAATTGTTCGGCAAGACCAGTTTTTGCAATATGAATTAATACCTTTCTCTTCTTCTTCATTCAATTTCTGTCTTAGTTTTGCTGCTTCAACTCTTGCAGCTTTCTTACGTTGTTTCTTCCTCAGCTTTCGCCATTCTTTTCGTGCTATCTTCTGTGTATATTCTTTATCCGTCAAGTCCATATTGAGAAGTGTCTAAGCTGATCAATTTTTCGTCGATTCGTTCTGTGCATTTTCCAAAATGGCGCAGTAACCATAGTTTGGTTAATTGGCTGGGAATTTCAATGCAAGAGAACAAAACATCCGCACGGTAATTGAACGAGAATTAAGACTCGCTCGTATCTTTATTTCTTTTCATATTATAACGCGAGAGAAACAAGAACTTTTCGACTTTCAGTTCGATCACATCAATCTTGGAAGTTAATTGACATATTAACCGATAAATTTATCGCGCCCCATCTTTATGCGAATTTGCGCCAACCGCAAAGAATGAAAACTTGTGCCAAGTCTGATATAAAATTTAGTATCTAAATATAAAAGCTCGTTTTTAACAAAGTTAGTCAGAACGGTGCACGCTGTTAAAATGTGTTCAGTATATATCGAATAAAGTAAAAACTGGATTGTTCACGTAATGTAAATTAAGTTCCAACATCGGAAAACTAAGACTAAATATCTGCTGTATGAAACGTGCTACGTTGTCTGCGCGGCAAAATTTCCTGAGGCAGATTTTATCTGCGATTTCTATCAGATTGACTACTCAAAATTGATTTTAACTGGAAATAATATAATTCTATTATTTTCTCTAGTTTATGTTATTATCTCGTGATTATTTGTGATAACTACAGTCGCCTCTCCCCCTCAAGGACTGAGAGCGTGGGACTGTGCATTCAGAGAAGAATGCAAGATGGTTTACTTACATAATAACGAAGGATGATAAATTTATTCGAAAACTATTGCCAGGCTGACCTTTACACAATCATTAATCATTGGCCAGAACTTAAATAGGCTGTTTCTACTGATGAGGTGATACCAAAACAAACCAATCAAGTTTCATTTGGTTTACCGATTATAAAGGTCAGGCTATATTTCTTCATTCTTTTTACGAATAAAATGGATCCTCCAAAACCAAGCTCAAGTCCCGACTGGTCAAATGCTTTCACATTTGAGCCTTCCGCCACGCCCGCAACTAAGGAGAAGCCTGCTCAACCCACTGCAGTGCACAGGTCAAGATATAAGCGCAATAGCATATCTAAGAATGCTGAAGAAGCAAGGCTGAAGAGAATTGAATTGGACGCGGAAGTTAGGAGAAAACATCGTGAGCAACTGATTACCGCTAAGAGGTTTAAGCATCAATCGGAGACATTAATAACAGATGAAGAAGGTAAGAGAAAAAATAGAAGACGAGGAACAGGATATGTATACAATTCATAGAGGAATTCAATGTCTCTTAAACAAAATTACTCATAGAATCCATGAACTCATTTCACGCTCAATAGAATCTGAGTTCGACCTTACCCAAAATGATATCACGAAGTTACAATCTAATTTGGAGGTAAGCTTATTACCCGCGACTTTCAATGAATAAACATGGCATTTGCTAATTGACTATCGCCCCTTATGATATTTACTGGCAACTATAGAGTCATACAAGAGATGTTCGCTTGCAAGCTCTGAAAGATCTTAGCAAATATCTGGTTGATCCTCCGGAAACCTTAAAGCAATTCGTAATTGGGGGAGATTGTGTTAAGATTCTAATTGTAGGTTATTACTATTTAAATTGCCTTGCTAGCAAAGAGATCTAATACATATGCGTTTAATACTAAGCTAATATGCAGACTGACACACCTTTTAGCGTTTTTTAACTGGGACGGATCCGGAGGAACAATTGCAGGCTACTTCGTGTATCACCAGTAAGTATTAATCGTGAACAGATCGATCACCCAGCGGCTAATAAACGTGTATATTATCATTTCTTAGATATTGCTGCGGGACCCAAAAACATATGCGAAGCTGCCTTACAGACTGTACCATATCTAATATCGTTCCTTGATGTCGACAATTTGGTAAATACGGATAGATGTTACACAGTATAGAATCACGTGATATTATGAAGATTAACTAACATAATTATAATCGGTCAATGAATAAATATAAAGGCGTTACAAAACCAAGCAACGTGGGCTATCGGCAATATTGCTGCCGAAGGATCCGAATATCGCGACTTACTCCGCGCAAATGGAGTGTTGATACCTTTGGTTCGACTGCTTGATTCCAAGGTACACGGATTCAGGATTATATTTATATTAACGTTTAAATTCTATTTCATTTATTCAATCAAATATCTATATGTTGCGTGATGTCTATTTATTTCTAGGATGTGAACCTTATCCAAACAGTCTGCTTTGCACTATCAAATCTCGCTCGTGGGCCAGATCCAAAATTGGAGGAATTTTTCAAAATAGAAACTGATAAAGTCTTGCTAAGACATCTGGAGAACGATGAGGTCTGATATTCCTATCACTCGCGTTAGCATTTTTATAAGAATAAACACATGCGGAACATCTCTAAAACGTCATCTAATATTTCTAATCGCGGTTCATATCCTTTCCCTCTATTTCGTAATCCCTTTTACACTTTTACAATAAAGTAGATGTCCGAGGTTGTTTCCGAAATATTCTGGGTGCTTGCATATCTTACGTCCGACTCTGATGCCTACACCTCGCGCTTACTTTCTGGAGGCCTAGTTCCACTTCTTGTCAAACACATGCGCCCACTCCTCCCTCATGGTCCACTCGCACTGCCTCTTATTAGAACCTTAGGAAATGTTGCCGGTGGACCAGATGAAAACGCAGATGAGCTGATAAAGCAGGAGGAATTTTTGAAACTTATGATCGAGTATGTGCAGAGTGAGTGCAGGTAAGAAATCTCTGATCATGATGAAACCCGTGTTAGAAATCGGCTGCACAAGTGGGAACTGGTTGGATTCGCGTTAATCATTTGTGATGACTTTTTTGTAGAGCCGTTAAGAAGGAAAGCCTCTGGGTGATGTCTAATATTACTGCCGCGTGAGTATATTACTCGTTGCACAACCACGCTTCTTTTTACCGATTCCTTTTACTGATTCCTACCACTTTACACTTTTTCAATAGCCGAAGATCAGAAGTGCTCGCAAAAGTGATCTCAGTGGGCTTCATTCCCATATTGTCAACAATTGCTACACATACCAATTTTGATATACGTAAAGAGGTAGGTTTCTGAACGAATGGGTTAGGGTGACAGAAACTCCGAGCTTTTCTAGAAATAGAGAACAGGATCGTGCGATGAAGTGTTGTTAATTATACTATGTGAATAGGCTGCATACGGTTTATTGAATATTGCTTCACATGGAGAAGAGTACCTTCAGTCATTACCTCATAAAGACCTTCTTCCGGGTAATCATCGTTTATTTTTGTCTGCTTTATTACAAGCTATGAATGTCTTTACGAATTGAATATACTTTTGCATTGTTTTTTGGAATAGGTTTTCTTGAGTTTATCCGTTCTCAGGATACAGACTTGATCCGTTTGGGTCTCACCTACTTCCATTTATTAATAACTCAAGTACCTTCCTCGCGCCAACTGCTCGAAAGCCTTAATTCTATTGACGCAGTCGAATCGGTGACGTTATCTGAGGATCAAGACTTAAAGATGAATGCGAGCAGATTAATGGATTTGTACTTTGGAGAAAATTTTGTCGAGATGGAAGGAATGGATGAAGCGAGTGGGGCAAATGTGGAGGGAGACGTTAATGGACAATTGCCGGAAAAGGTAGATGTATAGGAAGGGTTGAATGGCAAGTTGATATTGGACAGTAGCCAAGATGTGGGTATGAAGATCCTGAGCGATATTGTATAAATATTATTTAGGAAGTTAAGTTATATGGTTCTAATCTAATGTATAACGGGGCTTGCCCACCAAATACCTTAGATGATTTTGACACAATTACGTAAAAGACAGAGTGGTACCACGTGATTTAATAATATCATTCGAAAGACTCTGCGCATATCAGGATCAACATCACTATATTCCTCCGGTGTGGAATCAAGCATTGATGGTCGTAGTTCGCCCATAATGTTACATACTAAATCTGCCTATCTCTAAAAGGTGGTTCACCAGTAGCAATTGTAATTTTGAGATTGCAAATTTTCATTTTTACGTGCGTATTATTATTGTTATTATTATCTCTAATATGTGCGTGTAGTTATATATTATAATGTGTGGTGAGAAAATTATACAAAACAACAATGTTACTTTCCTTATTATTATCGAGCAACAGCGTTTTTACTTTATTCACTCGCATCGCGCTAATTTTAACCATGATACTGGCATGCTGCAACAAAACCAGGCTGGTGCTGAAAGTTAATTAATTTGACTAATACTAATTGGATTCACGAGAGCCGTTGACCGAAGCCGACATAATAGCCTCTACTTATTTATATCGCAATGAATCAATTAAAATCCTCGCACTAAATATACTAAAACAGAAACCCTGTATATCCTGTAAAGGCAAAATTCCATCGAACATGCGTTGAGAAGTTTCTTGCAAATAAACCAGACCCACGTTGTCCCGATTGCGGTAGTTTTTTCACTGGCTCGGAAGTGCAATTTTCATACCAAGCAAACGAGTTTAATGTGGGGGGGAATGGAAGTCAGGCTCAGCAAAAAATCTCGTGAAGATGAGAAAGGAGAAAGAATCCGGTGTTCTGAAAAGACACATTAAACCGAAATTTCTGAAGAGGGGGGCAATGAAAATTCCAGTGGTGAATCCCAGCCTCATAATTTTTTATATTTCTTTAGTATGCTGAGTCGAAAAATGATACTACGAATCAAGAAATAATTAGTCGGTATTTTGACTTTGGCAAAGCTTTAAAAGAACTACGTAAGGAACTTAAAAAAACTCATAATAGTGATGCGTCTAGTGCTCTTCTCAATCTCGAGCTTCGTACTCAGATTCCTGGAAACTTTAATTTTTGATGCGGTTGGTTGACGGTTAATGTGCCACATTACCTAAAATCGATAAAATTTTTTCCAGAACGATACTTGTATTACAGATTACAGCTAACATGCCTATCACACTCTTCTGTCTGGTCCATGGTAACACTTTTCCCTAACCCTAACCCTAACGGGTTTTTCTTATAACAGGGT